CTGCTGGACACACAAAAGCTCCTCACCAGCGTTATGACCTCCTTCAGGATGGTCGAAAACTGTGCAAAAACGTTTGAGAAAGTCATTAAATGAGGGAAAAATTGGGGTATTGTCTGGCCAAACAGCAGTAGCTCAGTCTAAAGCCTTTCCCGTGAGGAGGGAACACACAAAGGCAATTTTATTATTCTCATCATTAAACAGATGGGGCTGTTGAGCGATAAACAGTTTACACTGTAATAAAAAGCCTTTGCACTTAGCTGGGTTACCTGAGAACTTCTCAGGGAATGCCTAATGGACACCGGAAAAAGTCTGGATCTGTGTAACAGGGTGTTGACTGGGAGAGTAATTGGCGGTGAGTTGACCATTTATGTGAAGCTGCTTTGACACAATCTACATTGTAAAAGCGCTATACAAATAAAAAAAAGCTGAAGCTGTGGAAGCAACTTGCAAGTTTTGCAATGACTTAGCCAATTCATCGGTAAGCTGGGTTAAATGGGACAATTGCTGCTGATGTGTCGTTAGTACCTGAGCTTGAGCTGTGACTTCGTGGGACAAGACCTGCATGGCTGCGGGATCCATGTTGGGCGAAGTCTTCTGTAACGAGGAGCCTGACACGGAGGGATCCATTTGCAGTATTTAATAGACAGTTCAATCATAATCATACAATACGCACTAAAGTGCAAACTCACATCAACAGTATGCAATAGTGGTCGAGGGGGTTGGCGGCTGACAGACACAGTGTGATATGACAGGCATGGATCAGTGGCAGGCGGCGTGGTTCATAGTCCAAATATAAGGCGTGGGTTGAGGGCTGTCAACGTGGTTTAGAGTCCAGATAACAAGCAAGGTTAGGGGCAGACAGATGGCAACTCAGAGTCAGAAACAGTCCGGGGTGATACACAGGAGATCAGGCAAGGGAATAATGCTCAGAGATGTTAGCCGTGGCAGAACAAGACTTCGCACTGAACTGGTGTTTGAGCGTGGCTTATAACAGGTAGCGTGGGTCATTAACAGGATAGCTTTCAGGTGTGTGCGCTATCAGTATAAGTGGATGATGTAATTCTAAAAGTCCGGAGATGGTGGCCTCTGCTGGCCAGCGAGGGGAATGACTGGGACCGAGTCGGTGACAAGAACAATATAATTACAGTATAAAACATCAATTCATATTGTATTACATAAATACATTTCCTTTGATCATTTTTTGGTTAGCATGAATTTATATATATATATATATATATATATATATATATATATATATATATATAACAAAATACTAAAAACATTATTCTAAGTCATTTGTTTTCATGCATCACTCTGCAGTCTTCATAAACAAGATAATTAAATAACTTAAACTCAAAATAATCTTCCTTGTTCATTTATTTGACAAGTAATGTTGTACGGGTGTAGGATAACACATTTCTAACATTCAAGTACATCAAGGCACATTGCTGCACCTGTAAATTTTAACAGGCCTACAGTTGAAGTCGATTTATTTTGCCCTCCTATTCATTTAAAATAATATTTCTGAAAATTTTTACAGTGTTTCCTAATAAATAATTATTCTGGAGTCATAATAAGTTCTATTTCCTGTCCCACTTTATATTAAGTGTCCTTAACTACTATGTACTTGCATCAAAAAATAAATACAATGTACTTACTGTGTTAGTAAAGTATTTGAAAACAATTGTGGTCCTCTTGAGTTGGGATAGAGGTTGGGTTATAGATAGGTTTGGTGGTATGGGTAGGTTTAAGATGGCGCCCCTGGACGTGTACTTAAAACATGCGCGCACCAGCTAGCGGGGGTTTTCACAGACGTCTTTAACCTCTTGCTCTCTCAGTCTGTGGTTCCCAATTGCTTTAAGACAGTTACTATTGAGCCAATACCAAAATCAGCTAAAATTACATGCTTGAATAACTGTTGTCCAGTTGCACTGACATCCATCTTCAGCAAGTGCTTTGAGAAGCTTATTAAAAACCACATCTGCTCAGTTCTGCCTGCTCACACTGACCTTCTGCAATTTGCATACAGAAACAACCGCTCCACTGATGATGCAATTGCTTTCACCTTGCACACTGCTCTGTATCACCTGAAAAACAAAAACACATATGTGAGAATGCTGTTTGTGGACTACAGCTCAGCATTCAACACCATAGTGCCTGCCAAGCTGGTGGTGAAACTTCATGCTCTGGGCTTACACAGCTCTTTGTGCAACTGGATTCTGGACTTCCTGTCAGGCAGACACTAGGTGGTCAGAAGAAACAACATCACCTCATCCACTCTGATCCTCAACACTGGTGCTCCACAGGGCTGTGTTCTCAGCTCACTCTTGTACTCCCTGTACACACATGACTGTACATCCAAACACAGCCATCATTGAATTTGCTAATGACACAACCGTGGTGGGCCTAATTACCTATAATGATGAGACGGCCTACAGAGAGGAGGTGCACACTCTGACGCAGTGGTGTCAGAAAAAACACCTCTGTCAACATCAGCAAAACCAAGGAGCTGGTGGTGAATTTCAGGAGAGAGAAGAAAGAACCAACTCCCATCACCATCAATGGGACACCAGTGGAGAGGGTCAGAACTCCACTGAACTCAGAACTCAGTTTCTTGGAGTACAAATTGCTGAGAATTTGACATGGACCGCTCACACAGATGCAGTGCTGAGGAAGGCCCAACAATGCCTCTTCTTCCTCAGGCATCTCAGGAGGTTTGGAATGAGCCCCCGCATCCTCCATCGTTCTACACCTGCACTGTGGAGAGCACCCTGTCTGGCTGTATCACCAACTGGAATGGAAACAGCACCAGCAGCAATTGCAAAGGTCTACATAGGATTGTGCGAACTGCTGGACGCGCAGTAGGAGGTGAGCTTCCCTCCCTCCAGGACATCTACACCAGGCGTTGCATGAGGAAAGCCAAGATAATCATCAGCGACTCCAGCCACCCAAACCATAGACTTTTCTCTCTGCTACCCTCAGGCAGACGGTTCCGCAGCATCTGGTCACACACCAGCCGACTGAAGAAAAGTTTCTTCCCTCAGACTATCAGGCTGATGAACACTTAACACACCCCACACAAACTCTTCCACACCCCTCACTGCAAACCATAAATATGAAGCTTGCACTGCACTTTAACTAATTCATACTTAAAACAATACTGCCTACAACTCTGTGTACACCTATTCATTCTCTTCTACGTATTGCTGTCAAAATTGCCAATTTTACATTGTCTTGTTTTGTTTTTTTTGGGAGTATGTTGTTGTATGTTGTTGTATTTTGCACTGTCTGTATTTTGCACTGTCTGGAGCCAGCACCTAAGCTTTTCACTCATCATAGCGCACTTGCTGCTGATGATGTGACAATAAAAGTGATTTGATTTGGTTGGCCCTATGGTCAGTCTTTTCTCCTCCATGGCTCCTTCCTCCCTTGACTTCACCCTGGACCCTCCTTCTGGCTGCGTTCTGCGTTATATGGCTCCTTCTCCCTTTCAGGTTCCCTCCGTCCATCTACTCCTCCCTGGCTACCTTCTTTCCGCATCATTCTCCGGCATCCCTCATGTCTCCCCCCTCCAGTGACTCCTCCCTTTTGTATTTATTTTTTGTAGGACGTGCCTTACTAGAGGAGAGTGGGGGAAATGTCACGATTAGGTGTTTCCCAGGTGTAGTGTTCTATGTGTTTGTTATGTCATGCGATTCCTTTATTCTGTTTATTTACCATTTGTTAGTGTCTTTTAGTTGCACCTGTGTCTCACCCCTGTTTGTTAACAGTTTAAACATGTCTTGTATTTATACCCCCCTAAGTTTTGTCAGTTCTTAGGTGGGGTTTTGTGACCATTCCTTGCCTACACGTGTTTCAATGTGTTCCAGTTCTATGTTCAAGTTCTTATATGTAAGTGTTTATTAATAAATCGATAGGTTTTAAAACAATCCTCGTTTTCTAACATTACTGAAAATGTGCAACCATGACAGTTGCCAGTTAGTCACTATAATGGTTCAGTTATAGTAATTAACTGGCGACACTGTTAAATAGTTCTGTTACTAACTGACAACAGTGTTGCCAGTATTCTACTGTAAAAAAAGCCCTGTAAGGTCTTACATTCCACATATGAATACATATAAATAACACTGGGTTTTCTGCTATAAAAAAGTTCTGCTAATACCTTATGAAAAATAAAACAATGGTTTGCATTCAAACAAAAATGAAGCATTGCCATTAGAACAACACTTTATTTGTCATACCATCTTTATAATCATAGCATGATACGTCATAAAAATGTCTAACTAAATTTCATTTAAACGTCATTTTAAATGAAAAGAATGTGACATTGTTTGAGATGTCATCAATTTTTCTTTAAAGTGCCATTTTAGAAAAGTGACAATAATATTTAATAACATTTTAATGACCAATAAAATTTGTATTACTAGTTGAGATCATGAAAATATTAATGACACTTATGAAATTCATGACAAAATTATAATGGCATTTATGATAAGTTTTTTGATGTTGTCTTGACAAAGACAGGTTATAAAGTATTTGGTTATGCCATGTTGTTGTAACCAAGGCATGTCAAACAATGTCATTTTTATTTAAAATGACATGACTTAACATAAAACATTTAATTACAGTTGTCATAAGCACACATAAAATTTCTTTCACAATCATGGTCATAAAGGTCATAAACACCTTAAGTAAAGTGTTACCCACGTGTCTTTCAGATGGAACAGCCCTGACTTGCATTGTAGAATGCAACTATGTTTTTGCCTTGTCTGCGAAACTGGGTGTCAAGTCTTATTTCTTATTGGTGGGTGAAGTCAATGCAAATAGCGTTTGCCACCAGGACATCATATCAACGCTGTGAAAAAAAGACACTGCATAATAAATATTATGGTGGTACACAAAAAGTTCTGTCAAATTGCAGCCTATCTGTAGGGGTTTTTTTATTTGTGCAATCCAATTAAGCATTTTTAGAACTCTCAACATCTTTTTTTTTTTTCTAGGAAAATCCATTCAGGAATCGAATAGTGGAATCCTTCTCTGAAGATGGACAGGGGAACCTCAGCTTCAATGACTTTGTGGACATGTTTTCGGTTCTCAGTGAAATGGCACCTAGAGAACTAAAAGCAATTTATGCTTTTAAAATATATGGTAAAACCAACTTTTCACTACTATATATTTATTTTAATATAAACTAATTAAAAAATATACAATTGTTTATAATGTAATAACAATGTGACAATGTACAGTTTTGCAAGTAGTAGTATACATTTTTTAGGCCACCAATTATAAACTGAAGCAACTCCTTTTGTGGTTAACCTTATCATTTGTTTTGTTCTTAGACTTTAATGTGGATAATTACATCTGCAAAGAGGATTTAGAAAAAACTTTAAACAAGTTAACAAAGGAGGAGCTTACACCAGAGGAGGTTAATCTGGTATGTGAGAAGGCCATTGAGGAGGCTGACCTTGATGGAGACAACAAGCTCTCTTTTGCCGATTTTGAAAACATGATTTCCAGGGCCCCTGACTTTTTAAGGTATAAATACTGCTGTAAAAATGCATGGTTCTTTTAATGAATAGGAACTACAGTTTAATTCTGCTTTTGTATTACTTGCTAAAAATGGATGGGGTTTGGTATGATGAAGAAACATCAGACTTCAGTTTGGTTCAATTGTTTGAAAATCCTGTACTTTTTAATGCTTTTTTAGTTAGCATATACTGACATAGAAATCTGTTGCTTAAGATAGAAAAGCAGATCATAGAACAGAGTAACTGTTTGTATTTGCTGTCCAATACTTACTGATATGTAGAGTTTACAGTAGCTTAATCAATCCAACAGAACAAGCTATTTGAGTCTTCAGATTTACTATAAAGTAAAATAAAGCTAGTTGGAACTAAAACATGCAGTATGCTGGTCTAACAGGGGCAGAAACTCACCCTGCTAACGGAATTCTAATGATAGTACTTTTTTTAAAAAATAATATAAAATGCACAACATACACAACTTAAACAAATATTGTAGAAACATTCTATAAAGTTTTTTTGAGGTACAATTTAATACATTGATACATGATATTAAATTGGTAAACAAACAGAGAAGAAAATAGTTTTACAGGTCCATTTCCAATCCTTGAAATTGCCCTTAATATGATACATCAACAGAATAACCCAGTTAGCTCCTGAGTTGTGTTTTGGATGAAATAAAGGCCAAATCATAATTAGAATTGACAAAAGCAGCTGACAGGGATGTATTTAATAGGGGTAAGAATCACTGGTTAACCCACGATGCAATATCTTAATATTCTGTCATATATTAATATATCGCAAGAAAACCATCCGTGATACATCACAATATTTGTAAATAAAGAGAAAAAATGCATTAAAAAGTTAGAGCACATACAGCCCATACTGTATATTTTACAGAATTGCAACAATGTACAATTGCACAGTTGTTAAATAAGCATGAAAATGCTGATTTGCAGAGAGCAATTTGTGGCTGAAAGGGCAACATCTCTAAATTAGTCATATCAGCAGCATATCATTGTACAAATTACATTAACAACTGTCAAAATAGCTATTTATTGCTTTTCTTATAATTTGTAAAATAAAGACACTTATTACAACTTGGCCAACGTATTTTATGTTGCCTAAACTTTTAAACATTTAACCCTAGTTTATTTTTAATGCAAAATCATGCATTCCCACTAGATGCATATTTTTAATCAAGAACAATAAATGATCAACATTTGTACTGATTAACATTGTGTGCATTCCTCCGAGCACTTATAGTGTCTCAAGCAATTGAGAACTCGGGGTTACAAATGTAATCATAGCTCTATGACTTATTAGAGGACCGCCAGATTGGTTATCCTAAGTTACCTAGTGAAGTCTTTTTCTGGTGCTCATATCTTGTCAAGTATACATATCAAAATTGTCCCTCCTGTTCTCCATCCTGTTATGGCCCTTCCAGCCATAAACTTTTAAAGCTTATTCAACTCAAAGTCTTAATGTTAGCTGTGTTTAAGACTATACAATGCAAATTATTTATTTGTGTGATGATGATAAAATAATAGCATCATTTTAGCCATAAAAAATCAAAATTAGACTTTTACTGGTGCCTAGCCCTCGTTATAATGGACAGTTCTTTATTTAAATTGTATATGTATTATTTTTTATGTGAATATAATACCAGTATAAAAAACAAATTGGGATTAAAAAATCTAGTTGTGCAGTTCTAAAATAACCAACCAATATATGCATAGAAAGGTTTTTTTCTGTTTGATGATTTAATTTTCAGTTTCGCTGAACATCAAGAAACATATTAAAATGAATATGAAAAGTAATTTCATGACCAATTTTAATCTATTAACTTTATTGTAAACTGGTCTGTAATATCAGTTTGTTGTATTTAGTAGACACCTAGGGACAAAATTACATTGCATAGTTATGGACTGATTTCAAGGGGCCGCCATTTTAAACAGCAAAATCGAGGCCACGGTGGGAGGAAACCCAGAAGCATCGCCTGAGTCACACAGGAATGTTGTGTGCCTGACTGTATATCTTATCAGCAAAGAGAAATCGACACAAATTTATACTTTTTCCACCTACCAGCTGACTCAAAGGTCCATTCTGAATGAATAGTGAAAATAAAAAGGGATATATGACCTCATTTTCAGCTAAGTTAAGTTAAGAAATGGCAATAGTTAGCTAACGTTTTCTTTCCCAAACACACATTTTTGATACCATTCATTAAACTCAAGTTAATGAACTGATTCTTTCACTATATTAGACCTGTCACAATACTGAATTTCGGTATTGAAATTTTAAAAAGTCCATTCCGCAGTAACATTTAAGGCACTGTTTATGGCCTCGCTTTCGTGTTTTAAAATAGCGGCCATGTGAAATAAGCGTATTGGCAGGTTTATTGCCAGCAGAAGTGATGTGCTTATTGCACATTTAAAGCATGTGCCATTTTACTGCAAATTGTGATTGCAACTAAAGCAAATCAGATTTTACATAGTCTAACAGTAGTAAATATATCTCTCTCCCATGTGTCTGTCTCAGAAATGTAATCTGTTGCCTTGCAACTGAGTTGGACACTCTTTGTTTGGTTCATTGACTTTTATCTTCAATTTAATGTGTTTTCTCTCTTTGTTCTTTTTCTGCAGCACCTTCCATATACGAATCTAAATCAGCTACAGCAGAAGATACCAATGCTGATGTCCGTTAAAAGACAAGTCCACATCAGAGGATAAACATCTATTATTGGTTTCCTGCCATTTTTGCACCAGAAGCACTCTTGACAGGATTACTGACAAAAGCATGTTTTTTTTATCAATGGAAAATGTAGGAGTAGAAATCGTTTGTATATTTTTTTTTCAAAAAGATGAAATTGAAAGGTGAGGCCTTTTGTGGGTCCCAGGACCCGCACACATAGTCCTGGACAAAAATGAACACAGGCTTTTATTTTAAGTATCCATAACACACTGGACTGAATTTTGGCTCAAATAAATAATGAGACAGTTTTTGTTTTTTCAAGAAAGAAAAAAACTAAATGGATAAGAATATGAATGAGAGGGCTAAAAGCACATCACTGGTATTAATGGCACTGGATCAGTGTTTTCTAAAGCTATGCAATCTGTTTCCATAAAATGCATGAAATAGATTACATTCCCCACATTTTCCCATTCCCAAGTTCTCTACTGCTCTACAATTTCGTAGTTTAATTGCTTATAGAACTGGAGCATGATGACAATCATATAAATGTTCTCCAGTTGAATGAAGGGCTCAGTCATTATATATTCTTCTATGGTCTTATTTCATTCTCTCTCCATGTGTCTGCTCCTTCTGTCCTAATTTGAGGTGTTAGTCTCTTACCTATGAATTTACTCAGACTTTGTTGTGATAGAGGGCATTTTACTTAACTTTTAATAAAGATTTTGTGCTGATTGTTGACTGACTACATGTGTTTATGATGCTTTGAGATGAATGCCCTTTTTTGACATTATTTAAGGGATAGTTTGCCCAAAAAGTACAATTTTGTCTTAATTTACTTGTCCGTATGTGTATGTTCTTTGTTAAGTGGAAGACACGGGAAGACAAAAGAAGAATTTCTGAAGAATGTTTAATTCTTATATAGATGTAAAAAAAAAAAAAAAAATCGTTAACAGTGTTTAACACTAGTCCATGCGACTCATAATGTTTCAAGTGTTTTGAAGCAGATCATTATGATGTTTTTAATAACATGCTTGGCATCAAGAGATCGATTATTATTAACCTTTTGTAGAACTTATTGTTATTAATATAATAATTTTTTTTTTATGAATTGCATAAATATAATTTCTAGAATTTCATTACCTGATGAACAATCTAAGGGCGTTCTCACACTATGCTATCCGAACTGTGCCCAAGGCCGTTTCCCAGATAGTTTGAGAAGTGGGAGTGCTTTGAATCGGGTTTATTTGGCCGGCCCTGGCCAGGTTGGAAGAGGTGTGCAGAGAGCGGTTCACTTGGGCTCAGGCATGGTACACTTGTAGTGTGAGCTCGAAACTAAAGACGAGGCGTGATTTTTAAGGGACTGTTTCACATAGATTTATTTATCAATCTTACTGTTCAACAAAACTGTCGTAGATTATTAAAGATGCAAACCCCTCACTGCACAACAGCTGCACCTTTTGCAAACCTCCTAATTCCTGCAGCACAAGGACTTTATGGTTGTTTATGAGCATCAAAAGTGGCTGATCTGTTCGGTGAAATATTTGACTGCGTGTCACTGCAGCCCAAACGACTAAACCGATATAACTATAGAAATCTCCACTGAGCTGAACGAGAGTGCTTACTGAACAGCGCATCATCGATGACGTAAGCGTGCCCAAACCCGAATGTAATATGACTGTGGGCCATCTGGGGAGGAGGGACAAGTGCAATGGCACGGTTCGAAGCAACTGCACATAGTGAGTTTGACAGGTGTCAAACCTAGTTTCTGGAGGGCCACAGCTCTGCACAGTTTAGCTTTAACCCTAATTAAAAACACTTCAGGCTTGTCTTAAACCTCCAGTTTAATGTGTTGCAGCAGAGTTGGAATTAAACTGTACAGGGCTGTACAGAGTATGACACCCCTAATCTCAGTTGTGCAAGTTTTCAGGGGAATTATTTACAAGGGGTTCTTGACCAAACAGCAGTTAAATTATGGGAGCCAAGCACATGCCCTTCCAGCTGCAACCCATCTCTGGGAAACATCTTCACTCACTCATTTACACCCATTCACTATGGACAATTTAGCATACACTGCATAATATCATTCCGTCTGGCACAGGCATTGTATAGAGTTTCTTGATTGTCATGCCAGAATGAATGTATAGTTCCTAAAAATATTGGCCAAAAATAGTAAATTTTAAAATAGGATGTCTTAACTTTTTTGGAATAAAATGCTAATAGTCTTATTCGTTTCAATTAATTATGCTTATCTAAGATCAAAATGACCCCGTCAAAACATGCAATTTCTGAATTCACTTTGATTTGTAATTTGTCTAAATTGTTTCTGTACCAACTTTTTTTAAAATGTGTTGCAAAAACTTTCTTTTTTATTTACGTTTTCCATATTATCCCAACTTTTTCTGATTTGGGGTTGTTCAAGGCACTGAATGCAGATTGCATTTAGAAATTAAACTTCTAGTAATTAAATGTCTTTTATATAACATTTTCAATGATATTTCTGCTTTGACACCTTTGCAGTCCCAGGACTTACATAACCATGGTTCTCAGACAAAAACAGGCTTGGGTGACGGACCATTTTAGTCATACGATAGTAGCTTGCAGTCATTTGGCATAAGGCTGCCTGCGTTAATGTGCAGTTAATTTTCCATCCTGTTACCTCAAACTCCCTTTATGAGGACTGTATTAAAATGGCCAATGGGATGTAAGTGCTGATGATGCAATTCGGGTAATTACACCTCTCAACCTGTGCATCTGCTGATTTAGATATGCTTCTGTTGCAGTCTGATACAGCCATTCAGGCTGCTGACGGTAATGTAGTCATTAGAGCATTGATTCTTCTGGATGCAGGGCATAAAACGGGACATCAACGATTCACACATGCACTGGGGTTTGTGCACAAACTCAGTAGGCAGGCCTTGGCTGCCCTCTAATATTATTAGCCTAGCCATATTTGCCAATATGTTATCCCAAGGGTTTCAAAACAATCCATTTCAGTGTTTTTGGAGCTGGTTTGATAGCAAAGGCAGGATATTTGAGTATTATTGAATGTGTTCATGTAATGATTTTTTCTAGTTGCCACATAAACATGATACCTTAATCTAATCAATAATGATAAATGAGGAAACACAATGCTTTTGAGTCCGCAAAACATCATTCTAGCTTTCACATAATGCTTTTATGTGCCATTTTCCCCTGTTTTTAATCCAGTTTCATTCCAAATGTCTTTGTTGTATATGCAGACATATACTAGTACAGAATGTGCTTCTGCATCAGTAGCATTTATTAGAAATGATGTCAGTCTATCCTTATTACTTATTCCCAACATTAGATACATTTTGCATGACATTTGTTAAGGTAGGACACATCAGTCAAGCTTGCATCAGTTGGTGGTCACAGTACCAATCAATGCATGACTGCTAGAAATGGCTATTGCCAAGAATTCTTCTAATTATGGTTAGTCGTGATGGAAAAATAAAACTTCCTGAACCACTGAGGATTTTCAGCCAATTGCTTTACCATACGGTTCACTACCTGAAGCTTCATTCAACATTGGTCACTATTTACACCAAGCTACTGTGCAAAATATTAGCTGACAAATGAGCACTTGAAGAGATAGTGGTGATCATTTGAGGACAACAATCAACATCATGGTCATTGTACATGTATTATACACATAGACCTTACCTTTTTGGAAGGACACTATATATTGTATAACTGCAGGTTAACTAAGTGTATATACTGCCCACTCTATAAAAAGGGGTATATTTAGCAATTAAAATGAGCTTTTGTTTCCTTTAAAGGGAGATGGGCATCAGTTGGCTGTTGAGGTATAATCTACATATATAATAATAAAATTATTATTTTAAAACAGTTCAGGGGTGTGTTTTCAAAACAATGATGTAACTCACGGCTGAACTAGTACGATGCATTGTTTGGGAAGAGCACTATGTAGTGACAAGTGTTTTCCAAAACCTGTAGTTTCTTTGTCACAGATTTATCGTTTGAAGCACGTTAGTGATAACGTGAAACGCCCAAAATGTGGTGGTAACAACTTCTTTAGAAAAGAACCATATAATTTCTTTGTGCAAATTATATTGTTTGACACGCACACTCATTAACAAAAAATATTTCCAATCCAATATTAGTTTTGATTAATGCTCTCGCATTCCATATTAATTAAAATATATGTAAATGGCACATATAGGGCCTATGTTTCCTTTACAAAGGTTATTGAGAATATTTTACAGTCTATTCTAACTTAACATAAAATCACCTCTTAAAACATGTATTCTAATATATATTAATCATATAAATAAATAATGAGCCTATTTATTAAGAAATGAAAAGTAATACTTATTATTTATTAGGAAATGAAAAATCATACTTTAATTATAATATTAATGATATTGATGATTTTCCCAGAGATGGGTTGCGGCTGGAAAAGCATCCGCTGCGTAAAAACTTGCTGGATAAGTTGGCGGTTCCGCTGTGGTGACCCTGGATTAATAAAGTGACTAAGCCGACAAGAAAATTAATGAATTATATTGATGATGAATATTATTATTATTAATAGTAGTATGAAGGATATCATTTTTTTTATAAGTCTACTGTTACAATTTGAAACATGCAAACCACTGCAGAAATGTTCTAACCAACAGGCCCATATCATATACAGTACAAATACTTAATAAATAACCTACTATTGATTTAAACAACTAACTGATGCTATGTTTTTTGTTTTCACAAGTTTTGTTTTTTGAAGACCTAACTTAAATTCCGCTTTTAAATAAACGGTCACCTATAACTTTCGTCATGAGCCATGTGTTCAAAATTACATCAATGTTTTCTAAGTGTATTGCAAAGAGAGAGCAATTGTAAACATGAAGATTGCTAAAACTGAACTTTAAAAATGCTTTGAAAACAAATTACACCTAAGAAAGATGACTTAAATGCTTTTTTTAAAAGAATAATTCCAAGTTTAAATGCTAGAATGTTCTAAACAAATAGGGCATAGGGGGATAACAGGGAATAGAGCACAGGCAGGAACTCTGATTCTAAATACAGCTCTAGAGGTGTAGTTGCAAGCATAGAAGTTTGAGATGCAGTTTGCAAATGTTCGTTGGAATGACGGATTTGGGAAATGCGACCTTAGTTGGCTAACAATGGTTTTCAGAAACGCACCCCAGTTCGGAACAATAAGGTACGGGTTACCTTTTTCAGGCATGTGTCTCCACTGACTAATGGTACCCTTTTGGTAGACGTGGTGTTAAGACAGAAAGGTGCAGAAAGGTACAGTAAAGCTGTATGTGTTGTTGACATAACCCATTTAAGAACCATTTCTCACAAAACATATGCTTTTCATATAAAAAAATAATGTATAAATATTAACTACTAACCTTTCTATGAAGAGTTCTTTCTATGAGTGAAACTAAAGAAAAATTATTCATTTTTGTTTAGGAATAATGATTTGATAACTGAATAAAAAAAAGTTGTCAAATATTTGTAATGTTTAATAAATAACAACTTATCAAGAGGGGTGGCATGGTGGCGCAATGGGTAGTGTTTTCGCCTAACAGCAAGAAGTTCGTTGCTGGTTTGAGCCTTGGCTCGGTCAGTTGACATTTCTGTATAGAGTTTGCATGCTCTCCCCGTGTTCGCGTGGGTTTCCTCCTGGAGCTCCGCTTTCCCGCACAGTCCAAAGATATATACTATATAGAATATATACACCACT